GTACACTCAATAAGATAGTAATAAAAATTAGACGTTTCTTTTGTATAATATTAAAGAATAGATATTGATAATTATTTAAATTGACTGAAACCGGTTAAGTGAACAGCAATTGAAATTTGTTGTATTTTTAATAATACATAAACTTTTAGACATCAATTTTAATAAAGTAATTCTTCTTAAAAGTAGTTTTAATAATAGTAATACGTGTTTAAGAGGTCATTGGTAAGATAGCAATAACATTAATGATCTATTGCAGATTAAAAATTGCAGGGAGTCCATTAAATTTCGAAAGCTATTCGGAAGCGAATTAATGTCCGTTTTGTTATAACAAATCTTATGGTTTTGGGGAAAGTTTCAGCCTCTCTTTCTGCTTTTCCAACCAGACGAGTGGGTGGGTAAGTGAGTGTGTGTGGAAGAGAAAACGATTTAGTGGGCAATTTCGCTGAGCCGGAGACATTTCGCGTTACATTAAAGACGCTTTACGAGTTAATTGAGGAGAGCTCTTCCAAGATACTTCCACCTAATTTTCGATAAGCCGCAGAACTAAAAACTTCCTCCTCCAATAATCAATAGAGAACCATAATAATAATAGTAATAATAGAGTGGATTGTGTACGCGATCGTTGGTACCACTATTATGAGAGTCGTCTGCGAAAACAAAAATAAATCCTGTAATGATGATGACGCCAGTAAAAGGAGAGAAAGAAGCATGAGGAGCGAAACGTAAAATAAAAAAAAAAGAACGGACTGAAAAGAAGAGGAAAAGAAGAAGGGAGAAGTTGTGTAACAACCCCTGCGGGTGGGCTCTTTTGGATGTACATAAAAAGCCATAACATTGTTGTTCCGAGCTAATTCTCGTTTTCACAATTATCCGCGATTACGACCCTATCAAAGTCCGCTCGGGGCCTCCACTTCTTCTCGAACCCCACAACCATCCTCCCAACATCTTCCCTATCATCCACCTCTGGCGCGCACATCTCCACCCCTAATCGCATTTATCCAAGTTTAAAGGAACCTCGAAAGGTAAACGAATAAAACGCTTACAACATTTTCTATTTAATTTCATTCCTTGAGTGGATTACTTTGTTTTCCCTTTTCGGCTTTTTCGCCGTACACAATATTTTCATTGTTATTAGCGTTGCGGATCGGTTCGTCGAGGGGGGAGTTGGTGGTGGTGTGGGTAAGGCGACTGCTTAGTTGGTGGTTTTACAACTGTTCTTTGACGTGAAAACTTTTTGACGAAGGGGGCCGGAAGTCGAGAGACCGATGGACTTTATGTCTTTGAATAGATTCCAACTAAAGTTTAAGTGTTTTTATTAGCGCTGTTAACTTCCTTGTTTGGTTTATTGTCTCGGTGATGTCGGTTTGATGGCAGCAAACAACTTGTATAAAACAGCGAAATGAGTGGGTCGGATCCGGTTGGATTTTTCCTGAAAAACACCGCTCGCTCGCTCGCATTCAAGGGGATGCGAGTTAGATGGTATTATGTGGATCTACAGACGGGAAGAGAAGAGGAGGAGGACGAGGACGAGGGAGAACTTGGGGGGCAATTTGTAATGCGTTGTAAACGGACGTGTAATTCGGGGCAGCGCTGAATGGAACCGCAGCACATCGCAAACTGCTAATTTCAGGTTTGCCGTTCGCTCAATTACAGCCGCTAGTGAGTCTCTTCTGTATCTGTACGTATATATATATGTGTATGCTTGGATGTGAGGTTGTGAGGTTGTGAGTGTACGTGTAAGGGATGGAAAGCGTTGGCTATTATCTGCCCCTTAACTGCTATTATAGTAGATAGAACGTATAACGTGAACACACACTACTACCGACTGAGAAAACACAGAACCTGTACTATCCTGTTTTCTTCGATTTAACATTATCTTCTATCAAGAATAGGCATATCCAATTAACCTACATTTCGTAACGTTTCTACTTGATACACTTTATTGGAATCTATTTAATAAACTAGTACAATTAGAATGTTTAATGTATTTAAATACATCTAAATATCCATGGATCCAATTGTTGCTATTTTCTAATAAAATTTGTTATAAATTTGTCAATTTCCAAAGATTTCCTTCGCCAATATTCGAGTCGCAGTGATGACGGAACAACTGATTAGAATCATGAAAGATTATTTAAATAGTTCGAGGTAAGTCGCAAAAGCCGTGCAAATTTCCTAGTGTCAAAATTAGATATTATTTTTTCCCCGAAAAAAACTCATCAAAATTACCAATGTTAAATAAATCCTAAAATGGATATTACCGACATACCTGGAGTTACAGATACAAACGCCAACGCTTCAAGGTTGACATCGATGAATTAATAGATTAATTTGGAAAGTAACATATTGATTGTATTTACAGAACATCGGGCAAACCGGACACGTTAAATTCGGAGTTCTTGTATTACTCGTCGGTATTAAAAATTTTGGCAGCGACTCTCACCAATGAATTGGACAAACAGAAGATTGTGCCGTGGGCAAAGAAGCTCTTCAGGCCGGAGTATCACAGCTCTCAGTTCCGCGAGAAGAGAAACAAGTACGTGATATATCTGATTGCGTTGATCGATTTAACGTTAACTATAATAACATAGGTATCTTCTACATTTGACGTTAACGATCCTGAACGATGAAGCTTACGGCATCTTCACGCAAATACCTCCCGCCGGCGCTCTACTAGACCTGGAGAGCATTGAAAAAGAACAATTTCCAGCAGCTGAATGGGAACTGGATACGACTTGGCAAGACACCAAGCGCAATTTATCGGAGGAGTTTGAGCCCCTCCAGTGTTCGGTACATTCGACCCTGGATGAATGCAACAGCGATCATCTCTTAGATAAAGTGCGATGAGGCTATATCTAATTGATCATTATAATTGAACTTTATTTTTTATACTTGTGTAGATCCTGGATCAGGAATTTCAGTTCCTACTGTATTTAGTTAAACCGTACGCGGCGCTTCTACCCAACAGTTACGATAGGACTCGGGTAGCCACTTGGATGCAAACACTTTGCTCGATTGCGGATGAATCGTGTTCGAGTATGCGGGGAATCAGGAACGATTACATAATGGCTCTGTTAGGGTAACTTAATGAATATTTATTTTGCTTCAAATATGATGCGTTTTCGTGTGTAGGTACGTGCACAATCTGAGACTTGTTGGACCGTTCTCGCAGTATCCGCCGATTCGAGCTTTACCTCCGTTAGCCGAGGCCGCGAAAATGGCAGCAGAGACGAAGCCTATAACAGATCCCAACGGACCCGATGCGGCCGAGTTCTTAGCTTCGCAACCTGTACCCGATGATGGAGCTTTCTGCTACATAGCTCTAACGGGAGATCTGATAACGAGTAATCTGCCACCACCCAGTGGTCCTGCCGGACCTCCAGATGACTATTGAATCGTACACATTTTTTTGTTAGCACCTTTTGAATAAACAGTCCCATTGTTAAGTTCTTGGTTTCATAGGGAAGCGCGCGCGCAAATATTTGCGTTAGTAAATTATTAGTCGAGGATGAATTGTGCGGTTTTGTTGGGGTTCAGTTTGATGTATGAGAGTGCGGTTTGATGAATGACCCTCTAACAAGCGAATCGCCCGGCATTTACATAACATTATCATCGAATTATAATTCGTCCGCTCGCCAAGAATTCACGGTGATTAAGGTCTGATACCGTACAAACCAAAGCTACAATAATTGGATGACACCAAGTTTCATCCCATAATATATTCACAACGTGATATAAAGCAATGTTAATGTAACCTTTACATAGAAAATACTACTAATTAAATTATTTCCATAGTAGCTCAAGTGTTTGAAATTTACGGTAATTTTTTAATTTATAAAACTTTTAAACTACATAAATTAGACTTTCAAAGACTTTCGAAATCGAATATTTGGCTTAGTGAAGATCAGTTAATAATTTGATCTATTTTAATTAAATATTTGAGTATTTCATCCATTTCAACTGAGATAATCACAAAATGTGGGATAAGTTCATGAATAAATCTTAAATTTAACAATGTTGAATTGCGAATGTTTCGGGTTAGATGATGTGGGGCAAGGAGAATTTTCTCGTTATTATCTTGTAGGTATGATCTCAACGAGACCCTTAATCAAAACTAATATCCGGGTGCGCATGTTGACCACCGGTCGGCAATTAAAGCGTCCCCCGCTCGCACATTATTTCACTAATTTCATTGCTATTCCATTAAAGGATCCCTGCTCCCTGCGTGATGCAGATAGCCGTTGGCCTCTGTTTAATTAATCTTTCCTAATTATTTTCCAGATTCGTTTCGGCCAGCTAAGTAATCCTCAGCCACCTTTTCCACCGCCACCTCCGTTCCCCGTGGCGGCAGCGGCCGCCGCCGCCGCCTACTGTACTCCTCTCTCAGTTAATGCGTCCCGTGGCGGTCGTTACGGGCCATCCTTATCGTCTACACAACCACTGATTGCTTCATACCACACAATTGCCTGTTTATGCTCTCGCTGCGCGAAATCACAAGAACCTCCCCTAACACACTCTCTCTTACACATATAAACACACAAAGGGATTATCACAACTTCATTTCTTGCAGCAGTGGCTTTCAACCCGTAGAAGTATACAACAGCCAAGCGTCAACTCATTCAAACTTTTCTCATATTTATATATTGTACACTTATACTTCAAAATACTTCTAGTTTAAACATTTAATTATGCATTGATCTCCAAATATTTGATTATGTTAGCAGTTGTAAAAAAATAATAATTTCAAAAGTTTAGTACAAAATTTTGATTACGTATGCGGTGGAAAATAATTGAATGTACAAAGAACTTATTATTATTGCTTGGTTGATAACTTCTGCCTTATAGATGTAATGCATAGCAAAAAGAAAAAGCTTATTTTTTTTGGGGGGAAGCTAAATCTGAGGACATAAATAATATCGTTCTTATTTTCTGAATCCGGCGGTTTACTTTATACATTTTTTCTCGATCTCACTCTCTCTCTCTCTTTCTCTTCACTCCCGCAACAAGGAGAGAGAGAGGGTGGTGCGTTTGTGTCGAGGGAGGGTGTGATGGAAGATAGAGAGTCTGGAAAATAATGTTGCGGTCCGTTCCGTGTGCAAATCTGCCGTCAGGCCGATTCAATTACGATCTTATCTCGCAAAATGGATGACAGTTATTTCCATGACGCGTGGATGCCGCGGCAATAACGCACCCCAAACTCTGCCAATTCTACACTCTTGTCCTCCGAGGGGGGATGAACGCGGGTATCGGTGATGGTTAGGGTGTATCTCGTTTAAACAAAAGCCGGGGCCAAGGAAATAAAAAAAGAGAAGAAAAACAAGAAAGGGTACGACGACGATGATGATGATTTTTACGCAGTAATTAGCGCCGGCTGAATAATGAAAACGGTGCGCGAAAACAATGGCTCCGCGCGCAGTTTTAAAATTATTTATATGTTTGCCGGAAGGAACAGGTACAAAATGCAGGAGGCAGCTTCGCTACGCTCCTCTGTGTTGAAGGAACAATGGCCGAAACAAAGAATCGCCCTCGGAAACGCGCAAAAGGGATAATAATGTCTTCGCTGCAAGCGATCCTCCTCAGTTAACGCTGCCAGCGTACCCGTGTCCCATTCACAATCCGCTACTCAAAAGCAACATGATTGTTAGTTTATGCAAAAAGAATACGCACTTAAAAGGAAACTAGAACAATCTAAACACAACACCAGATCGTACAATAAATTTGTAAAACTATATACAGTCAACCCTCCTATAACGCGGTACTCTCAGTACGCGGTTTCCATATAACGCGGAGCTGAAATTGCGACAGCCCTCCAATAAAGCGGTACTCTTACAGCGCGGTTTCCGTTCAACAGCATCCCATAAGTTCCTTCCGCGCAGCCTATGAATGACTCTAGTAACTAGATATTGTAAGAGATTTTAATATAAGTTTTATTTTCGACGCAAATGTACTGCACTACACACGCCAACTTTTCCAAACTATTTTCGACAGATTAGAAAACAGTGAAAATAAAACCCTTACTTAGAACCATTAATTCGTATTGGAAACCTCTTTTACCTCAAATGGTTCAAGTAATACAAGATGATTCTACAATTTCACTCCCAGTTACAGAAATAGTAAACATTGCTTCTCGTTTAAGCGATGAAGATTTTGCAGTAAACCATCAGGATGTAAGAGAACTAGTATTCGGAGAAGAAACTTTAGATGAGGAAGAACTGATGGAATTAATTCATGAATCCAGTTCAAATGCATTGGTTAAACGAAAATAAGGAAAACGAATGGGTGCCAAATCTCGATTTACAAGATGTAAAAAAAAAGGGCTAAATTTGGCTAAAGAATTAGAACTTCATTTCATTCAAACTGATCGTTCAACGGTGGCCAGCGCAAAGTTTAAAAAAGAGTTAAGAAATTGCTTAGCTCCATATAGAGAGGTTTTAGTGGAGTTAGAATAAAAAGCTACAATCGAAAACCAATGTGAAGATAAACTAAGTGATGAAGACATTTTGCCCATTAAAAGAAGACGAGTTAGGCGACTCATAACTGACAGCGAGGATGAGTGTTGAAAGATTACATAATTTTACAA